TGAAGAAAAAAAAGCTAACGAAAAAACGGATACTTCCGACAGCGAAACGAGGCGGTGTATTGCCGATTCTACCGTTGTTGGGAGTTCTCGGTTCTCTGGCCGGCGGAGCGGCGGGAGTCGTAAAGGCCGTGAACGATAACAAAGCCGCGCGGCGTCAGCTGGAAGAGATGCAACGTCACAATCGCGCCGTGGAAGGTCACGGACTTTATCTCGCTCCGTACAAATATGGACGAGGACTGTATCTCGGCTCGCACAAACGCGGGCGAGGAGTAGCGTCGAAAATAAAAAAAAAAAAAACGTCAAAAAGACGTTAAATATGCCCGCGGGTATTACGACTAACGTACAATTGAATCGGCTGGCAAGGCGTATGCGCGTACCGTTCTTCAGAGGTGTCTTCATGCGTGATTCGTTACCGATCGGCGGTGTACGTCGAAACGAGAGCGGTATCGTGAATTTGGACGATGCAGCGGGTCCCGGTACTCATTGGGTAGCGTACGCGAAGAGGGAAGATCGAGTCGTATATTTCGACAGTTTCGGCAATCTTCGACCGCCGAAAGAATTGGTGCGATATTTCGGGCCGAGCGTGACGAAGATCGAGTACAATTGCACGTCTTATCAGCGATACGATCAGAACATCTGTGGACAATTGTGCCTGCGATTTCTCCGGACGATCGACGCTAATTTAAAGCCTGACGGTGCGCCGTGGTGACTCAGTATTCGTTAACGGTTTCCGCCGACATGTCTATAACGTTCACGCTGACTGGGAAGAGCAGCATCCTCGCGGAGCACTATTTTCCCGCCGTGGATCTGAGCGACGGTGACTACGAGCTCGGTCTAACGTGTTTTGAGACTTATCACACGATTCCGAACGTGAATTCTTCGAACAATAAATTTTATTTCGACGAGGATGACACGGAAATTACGATTCCCGAGGGATCGTACGAGATACGAGCCATACATAAGTTTTTGAAACGCGAAATTTCACGAAAACGCCCGCGACGCGTAAATCGTTCCAACGATGATCGTACGTCGGTCGCGAATATCGCGCGAGAGGCGACCGCTCGCGCGAACAGCTACGAAGACGAGGCCGCGGAATACCCGATAGTGCTCCGCGCAAATTACAATACGATGAAGAGCGAGATCAAGTGCGCTTTCAAAGTGAACTTTAACAAACCGAACAACGTTGGATCGCTGCTGGGATTCTCGTCGAAGCGTATATTGCAGCCGGGACAGTGGCACGAATCGGACGCGTCGATTAATATTATCAACGTAAACATTATCCGCGTGGAGTGTAACGTGACCGCGGGTGCGTACAGCAACGGCAAACGTGTTCACACGATACACGAATTTTCACCGAGCGTACCACCGGGATATAAGATATCGGAAACGCCGGCGCAGATCATTTACCTGCCGATCATCGCGCGAAGCGTTACGGATCTAACGATACGCGTCACGGATCAAGACGGACGATTGCTCGATTTTCGAGGAGAAGAGATCACCGTCAGATTGCACGTACGACGGCTACAGCGATAACGCGCGACGTGTGACATGCTCGTGTTGAACGACTCGGAGCACGCGACAGATAAGAATATCTTTACGACTGCGACGATCGACGATATCATCAAATCGACATTCGGTAGCGTTAAAACAGAGACGAAAACAGAGACGAGAAAGAAGCTCAACGCATCGAACGTTAAATTTTTACAATCTCTGGGATTCGCGGTACGAAACATCTGAACGATGACTGAAATTCTTAACATCGGAGGCGAGCCGGTCTTTGACGATCGCATCGTCAAGATCGAGACTCACACGTACAACCCGTACGCCAACACAACGTTCGAGTATAGCGACGAGATACGAATACCCATACAACAGCAGGATCTGTATACGTTGCCGTGCGAAAGTTTTCTCTACGTCGAAGGAACATTGACGGTGACCGGAGCAGCCGGCCAAGCCGATAACGTGGTATTGGGGAATAATTGCGTCGCGTTCATGTTCGATGAAATTCGATACGAGCTCGACGGTGTGGAGATTGATCACTGCAGAAACGTAGGAATAACCAGCACGCTCAAGAACTACGTAACGGTATCGTCCGACAGAAGCGTGATCCTGCGAAACGCGGGCTGGGAACCACATAATAATCCCAACGGATACTTCAATTTCTGCGTACCGCTCAACCTGTTACTGGGATTTTGCGAGGATTACAAACGCGTGGTGATCAACGCTCGTCACGAATTAATCTTGATACGATCGCGCACCGACAACAATTGTCTGGTGGGAAGTCTCGCGTTGGAGCCTACTGTCAAACTACTCAAGATACAGTGGCGAATGCCTCACGTGGTATTGAGCGAGGTCAACAAGCTGTCGATGCTGCGCGCCTTGGAAAACGGACGATATCTAAGTATGGGTTTCTGTTCGTGGGATCTGTACGAGTATCCCCTGTTGCAGAACACGACCATGCACTCGTGGGCCATTAAGACCGCGACTCAGCTCGAGAAACCGCAATACGTCGTCTTTGCTCTGCAAACGGGTCGGAAGAACGTCATGTCCGCGGACACGAGCCGATTCGACGACTGCAAATTGACCAACGTGAAACTCTACCTAAACTCGGAAGTCTATCCGTACGACGATTTGAATTTGGACTTTGGTAAACACAGATGGGCGATTCTCTACGATATGTACGCGCGTTTCTGCAAGGGCTATTACGGATACGAATATCTCGAGCCGAGTCTCACCGTTTCGACTTTTCTACGTAACGGCCCGTTCGTGATCATCGATTGCTCTCGACAAAACGAATCCGTCAAAAACGCCACCGTGGATGTCAGAATTCGATTGCATGGAGAATGTACCGCCGAATACCTCCGCGTACTGTCTCATCATACACGATCGCGTGATCGAGTACAATCCGTTGACCAACGTAGTGCGCAAAATAGTCTGAGTGTTCGCGGCAACGTCGACGAAAATTTTCTCTCTTTAACTCCCGATACAAATTTATGAGGGGGAAAAAGGGGAGCAGAATATAAAAATCAGAGTGTCGCGAAACGCGCGTCATTCCTCTCGATTCACGCATCGAAGAAAGAGAGATATCTCTTCATGCCCGCACCAACGTTCGTCGACCTGCAAGGTTTCGTCGTCGGGATGAAATTTGTCGTGAAGGAGGTGGCGGTGCTGAGAAACGGGGCCGTTCTGGCGCATTACATCTTTACATGCCCTATGCCGTGGAATCTCCTCACAAAATCCGACAAATCGTGCGCTTCCTGGTTGATTCGCAATCACCATGGATTACGATGGGAAGACGGAAACGTGCCGTACAGCAAGGTGAAGCGTTTAATTATGTCGGCCGTGCTCGGTGAGGAAAAGGACGACAACGATGACGACAACGATGACGACGACGACGACGACGACGAGATGCCGACTCTCGTGTACGTCAAGGGATGTCAGAAACGAGAATGGCTGGTGGATCTGCTTGAAAATAAAGCGAGAAAAAACCTAAACATCGAGACTCTGGATGCGGATTACGAAGATATCGAATCTTTAAATATTCTAGATGCTACCAATACTATGCGATGTGGAAAACACGTTAAGAATTGCGCGTTGCAAAATGTATTAAAAATATTTAACTGGTGGTCGAAACGCCAGAAAGAATTGTCATCTTTTTAAAAAATAAATTTTATATGTATGTATGTGTAAATTTTACAATGTTTTATTTCCTTTCCCCCATTAGTCGATAGTATACAAAATTAAAGAATAAGTAGGTATACGTGACGAATTCTAACTCGATAGCTTCGAGGGGGGGTATCAGGTTTCAGCGAACATGTCTGAACATGTTTCACGGTTGATGTCATGCGGAAGGGATAGGGGGAGGGGGGGATACATCTTAATAAAAAAAAAAAAAAACATCCTACCTTAGTCCCCTCTCCTAAATTTCAGAGCGCTGATTGGGCGTTCCAGAAACATTAATTTCCCCTCCTTCATCATAGTTTTGGAAGTTGCCGCGTATATTCGATTAATTTTATACGACTAGTCTCGTATCGACTGCTTGTGCAAACGGTGTTCACTTCTCATATCCGAGAGAAAGAATGTATTCCGTTGAAGGAAGCAACGGCGGTAACAGCAGTGGCAGTAGACGTATGAATTATTACGTACCGATTCACGATGATGATGATGAAACTCCATCGTACGAGAACAAGTGTAACAAGTAAGTTTTTTCGTTTTTTTCTTAAAATTATAAAGCTTTATATTTTTTAAATTGCAAATTATAAATTGTATTATTTTTTTATTACTAATTTTATTATTTTTTTACAGCATTTCGTTGAAGCGTCGCGCGGTTCGAATACTCAGCAGACGATACGCGTTGACGGCTACGGGATACAAATTCCTTGAAGTTGGCGTTAACGTGGGTCCACCGAGTTACGTGGAGATCGCCGTAGGAGATCATCGAGGAACGGAATTGATACTGTCCCTCGAAACGTGGAAGGGATTCTACGAACAACGACGGAACATTCTGAATTTCATTCGATCCTCTAAAGATACGTGTGATTTTATAAGCATTGGACCGCTAACATTGAGAATTTGTACGATTAACGGTGTCAAACTCGTACGTCTCGAGTCTTTAAACGTACGCTTAACGATGATCGAATCGACGTTACACCGTATGCTCGATCTTGATCCGTGCATCGACGCGATGTTCCATCGATTGAATAGAATTGTCGAAACGGTCGATGTCAAGTTCACGCAATTCTCCAAAATCGCGTCTACTGTAACGAATCCTACGCAAGTATTGAATGTAATACGCGATAGCGATGCCTTCGATAAACATCAGCTCGTCGATTGTGAGCTCGCAGCTTTATTTTTTAGTGCGCTACCGTAGTACGTAAAAAAACAAAAAATATGTAAAAGAAGAAGAATAAAAAAAAAATGTATTTTTTAAAATATAAATCACGACTTAATTTCTTCACACGCATTTCCATTCGAGCCGTATATGCGACGTTCAACTCGAACCATTCGATTGAAATTTAAGGTATATCATATATCGTAAACTATGAAGCCATGCTCCGGCGACGCTCGCCTATGTGGTGTTGATGCTCCAACGAATCCTTTCTCGCTATTGTAATGCTAGATATATTTTATCTTAATTACTTTTCCGAGCTCTGGTTCAGTCCTCTGCAGTCAGTTAAGTCAGTAGTGTGAAAACGTTCGCAAGCGCAAGTAGACTCGCACTGCCCGATAAAAACAGTACGTGGATCCACGTTATTGCTACGTGAATTCGACGTGGATTCGACGAAATTACGTGATTCGACGTGACGTTCCTGTTTTACTGGGGTGTGTAAGAATACGAAATGGACCGAGAAGAAGAGGAACGAGATGAAATGGAACGGAGATATCACATAATCGAACAATGCATAGATATTGTGTACCCCGCAGTAGGAGTATGTATACTTAATACCGTTGCGTGCGTGTCGCCCGGTATGCTTTTCGAACTCCAAGCTGAAGCGTGCAGTTCGTCACGACGATCGTTTAAATCGTCGTTATTTTCGTGAGTGCGCGAGTGTGAATAAGTGTCTGAGAGAGTCACGGACTCACTGTCGTAACATTTTTTGAAAAAACATACCGGGCGGCATGCACGCAACAATACATAATTGTAAATTATATAGTTTTTAAAAAAATTAACCATTCTCTGTTAACGCGTTACAGTGGATATGGGTCGACAACGTGCCGGTGCGCGAGGTCCGCCTTTATAATATGGTGAGGGTTCGGATCCCTCACAGACAGGTGTGTTTAATATTTTTTTCACAGATTTTAATTTTTTTTAAATTTTTTAAACTTTTTTTAAATTTTTTTAAATTTTTTTTAGCGTTTTATATATTTTGATGAAATCCGAATTCGGGGATTCATCAATATTCATCGTCAGCGTTTGGTACGCTGGTTTAGAAGAGTGGATTCAGAATACAACGAGGAAATCTGGGACGTTTTAGGAGATGAAGATATCTTCCAATTACGAAGATTATTCGATATGCAAAATGAGTTTGACGTTGAAGAGGAAGAGGTGTGGTAATTTTTAAAAAATTTTTTAAAGTTTTATGAATAAATATTTTTTATGCTTAATTCTATATATCATTTATTTTTCCGCTTTCTTCACTATTATTAAGTATAATAATAATAATATTTTAAATAATAATAATTATTAAGTTAAATCCGCGCGAAGAAAAGAGAACGCCAACGAAAAGACGCGCGCGAACGGGGGAGAGACAAAGGAACGGGAGCGAGAGAGACCGCGCTGAGGGAAAGACAACGCGAACGAGACGCGGGCGAGTCGTGTGACGTCACGCGGACCGACGTGGCCGTTGGACGCGGACCCCCATCCTCCCGCGGCGCGCCGCCGATAAAATTCCAGTAGCCGAACGGCGCCCATCGCTTTTGTATACCCCGCGCCGATAAAGTGACGACCCCCCCTCTCCCTCCGGACCACCCTCGGCGTAGAACGCGGACACCCCCCCCCCCCTCGGCGGTACCCTTGTCAACAATACGTTTATTAACATTTAATAAACATGTCCCGACATGCTCGCCGACCACCCCCCCCCCCCCCCCGCCGACCACCCCCGCCATCGAGTCCCCCCCCTCCCCGCGGACACCCTCGTCCTCGAGTCCCCCACCCCCCTCCCCGCGGACCCCCTCTCCCCGCTCCCCCCCTTGCCCGCGGTACACCCCCGCTCCGCTCCCCCCTTGCCCGCGGTACCCCCCCCGCCCCGCTCCCCCCTCGGAGCTCCCGGGGTAGATCTCTCAAAATAACTCCTACTCGCACAGAAGGATATTTAAGGACGCAAAGTTATATATAATACTGCTAAGAATAAAAGAAAAATAACAAGTACAATGCGCGTACTAATTTATTTTTGTTACTACTACTGCTATTTAAATTTTTTTATTTGTTTACATTTATTTTTATTCAAAAGCTACGACATGCTACTTACATTTATTTTTTATATCCATTTATGTTTATTCAAAAGCTACAATATGCTACTTACATTCATTTTTTATTTACATTTATTTTTCTTCATAGGCGCAGATTACTTGTTTTATCTCTATAGTAGGTGTATGTGCGTAATCGGCGAGGCTGATCCGGATCTACCTTAATAACCCTACCGTTTCGTTCATTGAATTTGAACGTCAGAATTTTATTGTATTTTACAGGTTGCCGTTTTACAGGTTTTACATTTAATTTCGTACTCCGGAGCCTGCGTCTCCGTTCGTCCATAGTTATCGTTTGCCATTCTTCAGACACCGTTGAAACCGACCGGTGAGACCGATTGTCCAACATGCCAAAAATTATGTTGGATATTTCAAGAGGCAGCTGTTTAATTTGTGACGACAATGACGATGTTCTCACGGTCTCGCCGGCCGTGGAGGAGCGCCCCGTGCGTCGCTTTATTCACTAAAGATCTCTTTCTAAATCGCGATACTTTTCTCCGAAACCCAGATGGTAGCTCGACTGAATAGTTTTATTTTTTAAATGTTGTGCGCCAGGTGCGTTTCCTCACACCACGATATACGAGATCGCAGTATTCTCAAGCGTGGGTTTCTTTGATTAATCGCGGTTGGAAGAGGAGAGAGAGCGTAGCGCAATCAACACATCCGAGTAACAAGAAACATAAAGTTATATTTTATTTAATGCAGATTACAAGTGGAAGGAGGTAGGCGAGTTCCACGGCGAACAAGCAGAATCCGGGCACGCGCCACGTGTCACCCCACGAGCGCGATACTCATTCCGTCGCTGAACTGCACAGCAATCCCGGTCGAATTCGTACAAGACTATTCCCCGACATAAGTTGCAGCGAATTTTACCCGGACGATTAAACGCGAAATACTCGAAAACGTTACTGCTAACAAGCGCACGAGGTCCCACTTTTATCACTAACGCAATTTCCTTACAATCTACCGCGACAGAGCTGGGGATCTTCACTCCTCACGAGACGCACGAATGGACTCACCCGTAAACGCGACACAATCGTGAGCCATTATTCCCGATGAAACGCACGGACATTCACTTATAATTAGCACGAACTTAACCGGCAACGATAACCACGGGACTTTCACACGCGCGAGACCAACCTCCCGAAACTACGGCACGGTTAAGCAAACGACGATTACGAAATCACACGCAACGAAATTACACGCAACGCAATTACCTGCAACGAAATTACACGCAACGAAATGACACGCACGCTGACTGTCGGCGACCGTACGTCCGCATCCCCGAGACGGGCACTCGCGATCACTTTTTCGTACGGGCCCTCCCGCGATATGGTACTCGGTATTGTTCAAGTTACGGCGGATTTAATCGATTCTCGCGGCACAACCCGACTCCCGGGAGGGCCTTAGTATCCCAACGATCTTATTTTGGGGAGGCTGAGCAGTGGCCTTACAATTGATTCCTCGTTCCGGCAGCTCGTCGTTCGGCTCGCAGGGCTGGATGGTACCCGGATGGCGGCTCGCACGACAGTGGCGTTCTTTCGGCCCGGCGGGACCACGCTGGGCCCGCGCGCGCCGGTTTCTCTAGTGTAGGTATTTGGTACCGCAGGAGGTCGATTATGCCTCCGGGTATCGGCCTACTACCGACGTCTTGACGAGAGGAATCGAGGAATAATTACACACTCGATTACTGCTGATAAAATAATACCTTATTGCAGACCACGCAACAGCCACGAGAGTCAGTACAAATCTAACGGTCGTCGTAACTCAGTTCTGCCAACCTCGTAACTCTCAACCTCTCTTGCTAGCGCAAGAGAGGTGGCTGACCAATCGGAAGGGAGACAGATATGCTGCTTCCTACACATAGACGGAGAGCTGGCTACATAAAAATGCAAGGTATAAAAATGCAAGGTACATGAAATATTTATAGCTAGAGAGTTCCATTAGCACTCCCGAACACTGAGTGACCAGTCTGCCTGCGCGCTTAGGAAGATTAAGGCGGGGGTGGACGGTCAAAAATGACAAATTTTACAAGAAAAAGAATGATAAAGCTCAGGGATAAAAATTATAGGAATGTTAAGTATTTGTTGCTAAAAAACGCGGAAAATTATTGGCAGACGATTTCGTGGAAGAGAAAGGGCCGGCAGACTGCAACAAAGCGGCGTTAACTTTTGTGAAAAAAAAAATGATAAGGTACATGATTGAAAATTATTGGTAATAATTACTAAACTGTTAACGAAGCTATGTGCTAAATGGCAGACGAAAAAACTGAAGACAACATCGAGGCAGATTGTAATGAAGAGCGCAGTTTCGATCGCGCTTAATGAGGTAGTTTCGTACGATGCGTTACTATGATATGTTATTTTGTTATTTATATGAATATATTACGTGTTTCTTTTTTCTATTAATGGATTTAGTTTGTATTCATTCTTTTATTGTTAAAAATAAAATGATTAATATTTATTTATTATATTGAATCTAAATTGTTACTAATTAATCTCATAACATTTTTGATCTGCAGTTGAAAACTGTATAGAAATATTTTTCTACAAGTTTTAAAATAATATATTGAGGTTTTAATAGATTGAGAGATTCGAAAATTATATTCGAAAATTCAACGCAGGTATAAAAACCGTTTGAAACGGTTCAGAAGGACCAAGTGGCCGAGAAACAGCTGTATAGTAGAGGCTGGAGAAGGTCATTTATGATAATAAAGATAATAAATATAAGAGTTCAGTATACTCGAAAACTCGACAATGAACAGACGTCCAACGTGTGTTGTGCCGAATTTTATTTTCCTTCAGTGACTTTTAGAATCTTTATTTATTGTTTATTTATTATTTATTTATTATTTATTATTTATATAATCTTTATTTATTATTTATATTTTGCAAATGTCAGTAAACTATTCGCAAAATGAGTTCGGAGCAAAAGTGTGTATTTTGTAACAACAGCAGTGAAACTAAAATCACACTTTTTAACGATAAAATTTTGGAAAAATGCAGGAAGATTTTAAAAATTCGTGTGACCTACAAGCTAAAGTATAATGAACTTATTTTACCCACAACTCCAGATAAAATCAATAGGTACCATGGAAATTGTTATATAAATTTCACGGCTATTAAAAGAAAGTATGTTGACAATTATAGTGAATTGGTGAAATTACAGCAGTCTGGAAATACAATACCGGAGTTTGATCCTAGTAAGTACATAAATTCTTATATGACTTTTTCAATACATTGTTGATAAATAATAAAACTAATTTACTGTTCATTTTATGTAGCTAATAACGAATCGATTGCCTCATCTAATGTTTTTCAGCAGATATCAACGGAATCGAATTTGAGAATGATATCGATTGCGAAAGCGAAGAAGATATGCAGTACGATGAATCCGATGCAAACAGCAAAATAGAATAACTCTACAATTTTTAATAGTATTTTTTTGTTAATAAAAAAATTATTCTAATGTTAAACATATCTTTTAGCACTTATTATATATATAATATAGAAATTGTTATCTTATTGTCGACATTATATATATATATATATATATATATATATATATATAAACAAAATAACATATCGTAGTAACGCATCGTACGGAACTAACTCGTTAAGGGGATGCTGGAGCCGTCTGTTTTACCGGCATTTTTTGTCGGCACGTAGCGTCGTATTAATTTGACAAAATTAAAAATCTTTCTCCAGAATTGCAGTACATACATTAATGATTCGGGGAAACTCCGATTTTATATAAAAAACGAGAAAAAATTACGGAAGTACAGATTTCCTTATCCTACTTTTATCCCAATATGGCGTCTCGAGTTGCGGCGAGCTGTCAGCTCGTCACAAGATGTATTTCATATAAGAGATATACCATTGGTACGAACGCGAAAACAAGTTCCCCCGAATTGCACAACAAGAAAAACATCGATAAACCCTCCAAATCAAGATTTGGAAGCGTAATATAAAAGTATAATGTCGACGTGCATCGTGCGTATGTGTGCGTGCAATGTAGCGTGCTATCCTTGTCTATATCTTTGTCTATACAAGGACAGATATAGTTCGCCGGTCTTCTTTACCGACGCCGATCGAGTTCGGC